ATGCCTGAGGTTAACACTCCACCCTGTAATTCTTTTAATGTGGTTGCATTGTCAGACTGCATGCTTGTGTGAGAAGCACAAAAGAGCCGCATCTTTGGGATGAATGTAGGATGCAGACAAAAGAAAAAAGCACATGAAGGGTTACATCTTCCCACAGATCCGTGCTCCTGAATACAACTCTTATTTGAGCAGCCATGAATTATTTTCCGTCATACTCAATATTTTCATCAGATAAGCATCTGACATTTTTCACATGTTTTACGGGTTTTCTCAGATTTTTATCAACAGTCAGTGATTCATTAGGAAAAAAACAATCTTGTTTTTCATTTACAAAAAATCAGACTACTAAGGGTTGTAAAGGGCTTTACAGTCAATCCTGAAATTTAGCTTTGATTAGTCATGTTTGACTGATTTGTTCCTAAATTGAGCTATTTTTAGACACAGTCGTTCACAGAGTGGCCTTTGAGTACCTCTCAAAGACTCTGCCTCCTTTAAAAAAATTTTTTTTTATACACAGTCGTGTTACTAATTTACCAGATTAGATGGTTGATATTGCATGTACTTTCAGTTATGCCAAACATCATAACAATAACTTTTTTTTAACTTACTTTTATTCATCCATAAAATATATTACCAAATGTAAATAAGTGCAAAGTGTACAGTCAGAAAACTTATTTGAACCCCTGCTGATTTTGTAAGTTTGCCCACTAACAAAAGAAAGTTCAGTCTATAATTTCAATGGTAGGTTTATTGAACAGTGAGACAAAGAACAAAAACAAAAAAATCCATAAAAATGCATTTCAAAAAAGTTATAAATGAATTTTATTTCCATGAAGGAAATAAGCATTTGCTCCCCTATCAGTGAGGAAGATTTCTGGCTCCCAGGTGTATTTTATACAGGTAACGAGCTGGCAGCCTTCTTAACTTGTTACCTGTGTAAAAGACAACGGTGCGTAGAAGAAACAAATTTCTCCAGATTTAAAACTGTACCATGGCCAAGACCAAAGAGCTTTCCAAGGATGTCTGGGACAAGATTGTGCACAAGGCTGGAATGGGCTAGAAGACCATCGCCAAGCAGCTGGGTGAGATAGTGACAATAGTTGGTGTGATTAATGGCAAATGGAAGAACCATAGAATAACTGCCAAGCTTCCTAGGTCTGGAGCTCCACGCAAAATCTCACCTCATGGAGTTTCAATGATAATGAGAACAGTGTGAAACCAGAAGGAGAACAACTCTGGAGGAACTTGTGAGTGATCTAAAGGCAGCTGAGACTGAAGTCACCTAGAAAAGAGTTGGTAAAGCAGTTGGTAACTGCAGTGCCTGCAAGGTCCCTCTGCTCAACAAAACATTTGTTTTATTGAAAAATCTTTGAAAACAATAAAAAAAAGCAGATCATGATAGCTGAGGGTTTGACTCATAACCGATGATAAATTATAAACTATTGCAGACTCAGAAGATGCCACACATGAGTAGTCATTCCTGCTGCACTTATTTGAAGTCCACAAAATCTGATGATGAATTTTACAGCACTGAGACCCAAGTGGACCCAAATGAAAACGATAGCACCTGTTTAAGGCTATGTTCACACTGCAGGCGAAAGCGCATCAAATCCGATTTTTTTTTTTTTTTTGACCCTATGCGACCTATATCCGATCATGGTATGACAGTGTGAACGGCACAAATCCAATGTTTTCAAGTCCAAAGTCTTTATATTAAGGGCCATCAGTCAAACAATGTTGTGTGTTCTGGGTCTAAACAGAGCGCGTTGTGTGCGACGTCTTCTTTTGTGCATGCGGGCCGCTTTGAGCGTTCACACTAGAGCGCGTTTGCTGTCGCATTTTATTTGTAGTGTGAACAAGCAGACAAAAAAAATCGGATTTGATCAAAAAATCTGAATTGAGCATTAAGACCTGCAGTGTGAACGTAGCCTAAGACTTCAGAGGGTGAAGCAGATTTCCTTGAACTGGAATTTGCACTCAGCTGATTAAATGGAATAAACAAATGTGAAATGAACTCGTCATTCCCCAGCCTGGCTGGAAGCAAATCTGGACTCTGATGAAGTAGCAAAAGTATAGAAAAGGGATTTTGAGATGAAATGCAAACCAGTATGTATGGCACAATCGTTGTAAGTCCTGGATCCACCAGGTGTGTTTTGACATTACACAAATTTTCCTGTGTGTTGTTCCAACCTTCTTGAAACAAGCTGCTGGCTTCAACTTCAAAATGAGCTCTAGTTTCCAAAAAACACCGACACTGATACGTTTCCTTTTGTGCCGGTTTCAAATGATTCTGCAACTGAAGTGAATTTGAGCCAAAACGTTTATTTTGACAAGCTGCAAGTTATACTTAAGTATATTCTCTGTTCATATATTCCACATTTTGATGCCATCACTACAAAAAAAATATTTTCTTGGCCCTGAGAATGTTTTAAAAACATTAAATTGTTTAAAAAATAATAATTTTGGCCTTAGAATTGTGGGAGGTGTCCACTGGAAAATAAAATGCTGATTGGTGACCCAGTTTAAATAATAAAGTAGCAGTCCTTCTTACTGACAGGTGTTTCTATGATCTCCTCTCCATATTTTATGGCCGTGAAAAAGGCTAACAGAAATAACTGTCTGTATAATGTGACAGAACCCAAAGACCCTTTCACAAAAGTGATGAAATCAGTGAAAAGTGATTTCAGCACTTCTCTGAAACGGATTAAAAATGTAACTTCTTGTGCTCTTTAATTAGACTTGACCTGGTGTACCTAATAAATGGGGACTTGGGCGTGCTCTGAGTACTTGTAGAAGTGAGTCTTACTACTCAGCAGCCACCTTCATAACAACTTTATGCACTTAATGAGCAATTATTTTGAAGCATTATGTAAATTATCTTTATTTCAAAGGCCACTGGGACATAATAACTCCATGTATAATATCATGAGTTAAACCTGATTTTTTTTAAAAAAGAAGAAATTTGCTGATTTTGGCTTAAAATAAGATTCTTTGTTAAACTTTTGCTCCCCTGGATCTTATAGTTGTACCGCCATCTGTGCTGCTGCAGAATTCTCTGCTAGATTTCAATTAATCATTTATCGAGTGCCATGTCCTCTCTTGTCTCCGGTGTAACATCCTGGTTATTCCTAATTCATAGGAAGTTTTACTCTAGTGTGTTTGTGTGCTTGTAAAAAGCTCTGACGTCATTGACACTTGAGATGCTGAAAGACGGCACAAAAAGACAATACCTCCAAAATGATTCTCTTCCTGTGATCGTCTCCACGAGTAATCTGGGCCACAACAAGTAGATTTTCCTTGAAATCCACATGTAAAGCTCGATTTTCTTACACACTTTTAAAGGGAAGAATGCAAATGGATTGACAAAACTTTTCTAGTGTTCCTGACTAGTCACTTGCTTTAGACTACAAAACATTACACTGAGATTAGCAATTTTAAAGCTTTTAATACAGATTGGGTTAAATAATTTTATAGCCTCGATGTTGACACCGTTCTGTAGCTTGATGGAAAATACATGCTGTGTAACTTTCATGATGATTTCAAAGTTCACCGTCATTCCTGGAAGCAGCAGCTTGCATAACAAGTCACCATAAGGTCCACCTTCAGAGGAAGAGTTTGATAAATGATTGAACGTTTCAGCTGCTGGATGAGATTGTTGCGTCAGCCACTTAACAATTCATCTTTAACTCATTTTGAAATATAACTTCCTCTGCAATTTTGGCAAGCAGAATTTATATTCACAGTGGTGAAGGTGTTTCTAAAATTTTGTACAACCCAAGTGAATAGTATTCAATTTGAGTACTTATTAAAACACAGATATATTTAGAGTAAATTAATTAATTTCGCTTTACTGGTTGATCCTTTCCCAACCTCAGTTAAGGTCACAAGCTCTGGGTAGTGAACTTAAGAGGTGAGGAGCTCACCTACTCCATCTCCAAGCATGAGCAGCTGATTAGCTTCAGCATCTGACTAGGATGCCTAGGTGTCTCTCACCCCAACTGATGGCCCCCGTGGAGGTTTCTTCCTGTTAAAAGGGATTTTTTCCTTCTCTTTGTCGCCAAAGTGCTTGGTCATAGGGGGTCATATGATTGTTGGGTTTTTCCTCTGTATGTATTATTGTAGGGTCTACCTTACAATATAAAGCCCGTTGAGGCGACTGTTGTGATTTGGTGCTGTACAAATAAAATTGAATTGAATTGAATTGAATTGAACTAGGTGGTGAGCTGTTTCAGTTATGTCCTACCAGGAGGAGGCCTTGGAGCAGACATGTTGAGGGATTACATCTCTTGGCTGGTTCGGGAACTTTGGTGTCCCTGCCCAAGAGTTGGAGAGGAAAGACTTGGCGTCTCTTCTTGGATGGATTATATTAATTATAAATCTGTATGTTATTTAATAATCAAATAATTGCTGTCTATCTGTAAAATGGCTGTCAGGTCAATAACATAATCCTTTGAAAGCGATGGAAAATTGTGTAGATTAAATGTTATGTTTAATATACTTTTATGGAAAACAAAATGGTGTCATGAGTCATGACAAAACTTCTTTACAAACTTTGTGTGATTTAGGTTCCCTACGTCACTACAGCTCTCATTATGACGTCATCTATTTAGTTATGGTAAAAAACATTACTGCAAATGCAGCCGCCTAATTACAAATCTTTGCTCGAGGGATTCTGCTATTGATGATCACCTGTAATACATAAATGTAATGGAATGTGGTGGAGTGTAAATGGGAGATGAGTTATTAATTATTGATAAGTTATTATTCGAGCCTTGAACTGCCAGCTGATCGAGGCACCAATTGAAATCATACAAGAGCTCTAAGCTGTTATGGAGCGTCTGTTCTTTGATAACTTGATTTTTATGCCTTTTTTATTTTTCAGTTTTAACCCGCCCCTGTGGGGTTGAAAGAAAATTGATCAGACTATTTTCTAGTTGCTTTGATTAGATCATTATCAACATGAAATGAGTTTCTTGCTCTACTTTCCGTGTTTCCTGCAGGTCTTCCGTGCTCCTTCTTGCCCCTCTTCTGGCTGAAACCGACCCAGCCCCTCATCGCGTCTCCAGGCCCACCAGCTCAGCCGGAGCCCAGCAAACAGAAGGTCTTTGCAGCCACTTCCGATGGATGGCAGAGCATGTACCAGCCTTCCGGGTGCCAGGCTCCCACATCCACATTCTGACGTCACCTGACCAATTCTACCAGGCAATGAAGGTCTGTCTCAGAGCATGTTAGCTGGTTTGACTTCACAGGATTTATTTTAAAAATGAGAACAAAGCTCTAGTCTGTTCAATATGAAACTTGATAGACGTGTGTTGACTTTTAATACATGTATCACTATGAAATTCCACAAGGTAACCAAGGAAGCGTTATTATCACAGTAGACTCTTCTCTGTGTACTCTGCTGCAGTGTCCACATTGCAGGTGACAATGATTAATTGTTCAAACATGTTTTAGTTGATGCTGACGAGAACTTGAGGAGGAAACTGGCATCCAGACATAATTTTTCTGGTATAAACAATCTGGAAAAACAAGGTACTTTTTAAACACTAAAATAAAAACTTGAGGTCACATGTTAATTCCCGTCTTAAGAAGATGATATCAGATTCACGTGTTCCCATAATGTGGTTTAAGTTTCAGTTCTAAATACCTCACATTCAATGTTCCC